CCAAATTCTTCCATCAGATCGCGTTGATTCCAAAATTTTGGGGCAAGTGTGAGCAGTGTAACTCTTTCCTTCTAATCATTCGACAATGCAAACTTTTCTTTGATTTGCTCTAACACTACGATACCTACTGTAAGGTATTTATCGTCGTAGCGTTTTTCCTTATTTTTGAGTTTGGAATCCGAAATTTAGCACTGTAAGCATATCATAGCCTTATCTTTAACGAATGGAAGTTTTTCTTTCAACGATTGCGGAAATTTCACTAAACTGTTGTTAACGCGATGATTTTCTTTATTTAAGGGATTACAGCAGACAACCATCTTAAATACTGATTGTAAGAAGTGAAATATAAAAATCAAATAGCTGGCATTCAAGAATGCGTTACCATAGCTCTGTTTCAGCTCACTATAATAATAATAAAAAAAAAAAAAAAAAAAAAAAAAAACACTCGACGATGATATTCAATATACGATTCAGTATCGCGTCGCGTCATCGTCGTCATATCGCAATCCCAACATAAATGTATAATATCATATACACAGACTCGTTCGTCCCGTCATCCTCTGCTCAATTGATTNTTACCATAGCTCTGTTTCAGCTCACTATAATAATAATAATAATAATAATAATAATAATAATAATAATAATAATAATAATACGAATCATAGGCAAATCACTTTATAAATAGTAGGAATTAAAAAAGAAGTGCAACTTACGGCAGAAAATAAAAATGTCCTGATAATTATAATCAAAGAGTATCAAAACAATTAAAATACAAAATTTTTCTTACATAGTATTTAGGTTATGCGTACTTGTTTACACTCGGAATAAATAAAAATAATGCCACGTGGTGTGTGGCGGTGTTAGGAACGGCAGCAGACGCGAAGCAGCCGCCCGTGCCACGCCGTGATTCACACCTATACGTTCATCGGTCCAATTCATAAAAATATCAAAAAACCCCTTTTTTTTATTGACTATACGTTAGTAAAATCGTCTTATCTTTCGATCTAGATGGTCAAAAAATTCTTAAAATCGTACATCATGAGATTTAATGCATTTTTACCAACATTTGCATTTTTATACCTTATAAAGTGAAAATTTGTGATAACTCATATCACCATCAGAAAGCTGAGAAAAAAGTGCATGGGGATAGATGCTTTTGTGATTTTTAGAACATTTTCCTCAGGCTTAAACGACGAAATGAAAAAGTCGTCTTTTAGGCTTACGCGGCCTGTATGCGGTGGCGCTGGGGTAGTTGAAAAAATTCTCCCCATTAATTTATACAATAGAAGTTAAAAAAAAGAGGTTTGCCACATGCTCACATTATAGTAACGCTTTATCCAAACAACAAATTGCACAATCCTGAAAACGTAGATCAATACATTTTTGCTAAAATACCAACGCATGACGAAATTTAAAAAAATCTTGTGATTAAACATATCCTACATAATTTTCACATTGCGAAAAGTCCTCGTTTCAAACAAAAAACTCAGATGTTTGTAAGAAAGGCTTTCCAAAACCTTTTCATAATAAAATAGTAGGATAGAATCAGCAAAAAAGCATGGTTGATTTTAAAAAAATTGCTATTAGCGCGAAATAAACCATGGTAGTAGTTTTTTGGTTTCTGAAAAATTCGAAATAGTTTTGGACTCCAAATTGTGTCAGCTAACAGTAAAAAAAAAAAAGGTAAATGTGGTCAAAAATGGTATTTCGTAACTAGTAAAAAACTGGAGAGTCGGGAAATACAGTTGTATTGGTAAAAAAATGCGCAATTTCAAGAAGAAGAAAACGAGCTCCAGTGGAATAAAATTTGCTCAGCCATTTTTTCGCAATTTTCCAAAAAGTGCTCTTTAAGACCGTTTTTTAAAAATCTATAACTCACGTTCATTTATATATTAAACCTTTCAAATTGAATACAAGGTAAATCTTGTCTCCCTTAACATCCACACTAAATTTCAAGAAGATTGGTAATCTAAGATAAGGAGATTGACTTTCGAGAGGATCGGTGATTCGTGCTTGAATGCTAAGAGTCGACAGGATAATATAGGGTCGTCGGTCACCGTGGTTCCCAGCCTTGCGAAGAACAACTCCGATCGTGGCGACTGCCAGTAAATAACTGACTTGGTTTCATAGTGGCCGTTTTTAGTTAACATAGTTTTTCAGTCGACATTTCGAGTTACATTTTTAGTCGTAAAAATTTATTTGTTGGCAAGGTAGTTTAAACTTAGGTGGCCCTTAAAAGAACCGACGAGATTGATGGTTAAGTAGGGAACGTACATACTTATAATGGCCCTAAAAAGGGCCAGTAGTGAAACTTGCAGCTATTCCTTATTATTACTCCTGATGATGAAGAGCTGGCTGCGGGTAGCTTGACTCTTACCCTGGAAGTCTTTATGTACGGAGACTGTGATTGAGGAAGGTACACCACTGACCAAAGAATATCTGGTCTTCGGGTCGTTCCCCGGATAACCAACCGCTCATCGTTAGTTGGGAAAATGTGGGTAACCCGTTGGAGACACGAACACTGAGAAGGAAGCCGTTGTAGCTGCGCGTACTCCTCAGAACTGTCTTTCCTGGCTGACATTTATAGCCAAAAATTCTCTGACGGCACCTAACGGGACAAGTCTCCTGAGATTCCGTCGGAGACGATATGGATTTGCATAATTTTTCATTATTGGCACTCGTCAATCCTGGAGGTTCGGGGTGGAAGTAGACCCAGGTCACTGGCCCATTGGACAAGAGTATCGTTGGTACCCGGGATACACAGCTGCACGACTATCATCGACATTCTCGATGCGGCTCGATGAACTGCCGGTAAAAGCCGACTACGGAAATTTCCGAGACGCTTCGGCCTATTGTAACTCTACTTATTTAATTCTGTTACAGGTAGCCTCGATTTTATGTCGACGCCATTTAGTGGATTCTACTGAACTTAAGTGAAAGGCTGGCGTATTTTTGCAAAACTTTGAGCTTATTTATTGCTATTGTTATTAAATTTTTTAAGATAAAAACTATACTGAAACTATCTAGAAAGTGTTAAGAATTGGTATGCAAAATTCCAGCAAAATCGGTTTTGTAGTTTATGCAGTTAGCGATTATAACGGTTTAAACGACTTAGCCTTGTATAAGTAAGATAAAATAATAACGCAAGCACCAATCGTAACTCAATTCGGAGCAATTACTGATTTTTTAAATTATTGATAATTAATTAAATAATAACACAAGCACTTATTATCACACAACTTGGAGTGTTAATTGGTAACTTTAATTATTAAAATTTAATAGAATAATGCAAGCGCCCTAGGTCATGTGGGGATTGGAGTTTGCATTATTCTATTCATCATAAATTATCAAAGCAAATAATAAGGGCCCCGGGTTGTGTGGGGACTGACGTTATTACTTCATTAATCATAAATAGTCAAAGCAACTAGTAAGCGCCCTGAGTTTTGCGGGGATAGGCGCTTGCGTTATTATTTTATTTAATCAATAATTAAAGCAGCCAGTTGTGTTGTGCGCTTGCATCATTATATTTATTGTATCAATAATTTAAGCCTTTAGTAAGTGTACCGGATTGTGTGGGGATAGATGCTTGCGTTATCATTTTATTCATTACAAATTTACTAAGCGATTAGTAAGCACCTTGGGTTGTGTGGGGATAGGCGCTTGCGTTATGATTTTATTTATCAAAAATCAAGTCAGCAACCAGTAAGCGCCCCGGGTTGTGTGAGGATTAGCGTTGGCGTTGTTAATTAATAAATTTTATTATTCATTTTAACTTGTGAGACTGCTCATGGGTGCGTTGGGTTATTCGGTTAAATAGCTAGGGATTAATTTATTAAGTTACTTCGCATCAAATTTTGTCCAGTTATCTGAGGTTTTGCGTCTTGCTCCATGTAGCCATTCATTTTTTGCATTTTTTCTCTCTAGGATCTGTAGCTATTCATATGTTGGTCAAAGTAACAAAAATGCAAAATCATATCGACCTAACCCAACACTGGGTACGTAGTAGCATAATTATATATGGTGGTGTTGGCAAACTCTGAGACGCTCCGTTTATGTTCTGCTGGCTATTTTTGCCCTTTGTAACCGCAGCCTTAACACTGGTCTTGTCGCATTTACGCGAAAGGGCTAATTGTCTATGATTTTTTTTGGTTATTTTTATAGTCATATAAAAATAGACCGATTATTAGAAGCTTGGGTATTGAGGCTTACGTAGAAAGAGAGAGAAGACGAGGGCAGTGAGTAGACTGCTTGTTCTTGTGTACGGCGCTTAAGCACGAGTAGAAAGAGACACAACATCAAACGTGGGTATCTGCCTCTCTCGCACATTGACAAAGGTGGGGGTCAGTAAACTAAGTCCGGTTTATGCAACCTCTCCACCGTTGGCAACGTGCGAGAGAGACAGATGTTCATGTACGACGTTATGTGTCTTTCCACTTGTGCCTCAGCGCCGTGAATAAGAACGAGCAGTCTGTAATTCTTGTATGTCTATAAAGGTGACCATGACAATTTTTGCGACATTGTTTCTTATTGACCCATGCTGAGTAAAACTGCAGTTTACGACTCCTTACGAGAAGTAAGCTTCAGAACTTGCAGTGCTATTAATCTAATACTAATGTTAATAACAAATCGAATGAAAACTCCCCCTTCACCTGTAGAATTTTTTTTTTGTTTGACCATGGTTCACCCACAGTATTAGTTTGGTAATGGCTCACTTAACAGCTGTGTTAAATACAAACAAATCCTATTAAGTACCGACAGAAGAATTACAGTCCGCATATTTATATTCAAATTTACCGCCTCAATAATTTAGAATTTCCTGCGCTGTCACGTTGGCAGCATTGCGATTTATGCAGTAAACTTCAGGTAAGGAGTCGTAAAGTACACATTCGCCAAATTATTTTTGCTTTGATGCTGCCGTTATGAACACAAAACAAAGAGAACATACGTATATCTCGGCATGATATTAAATTTTTAGCTTAATATAATTTTTATTATTGTACCTGTCAACATGAGGATAAAAATCATCCAAAAGCTTTAAGACTGCAGTTCCTAAGCCAGAACCAGTGCCTCCACCTAGGGAATGAATCAACAAGAATCCATGCAGGCAGTCACATTTTTCCACACTTAGTCTTATAGCCTCCTCTAATTGACTATTATAAGCTGCACCATGAGTATGATAACCTACTGCCCTGTAAAGTCACAGACTATAAAGTCAAAGTCAAGAGAAATATTCGCAACAACAGTACATAAAATATAAAAACCAATTATTTCCAGATCCTAGATAATTAGTAACTGTGCATGTTTGATCAAACAAATTGCGAAATGGACCTTGTTTGATTCTCCCAACTACACTATCTTCCATATCAACTAATATGGCCTAGAAAGTTAATTTCTTTCTTACTACATGCATAAGGAATTGTTGTAATGAACTATTAGTACGGGGTAGAAGTGTACCCTGCTGATTGATATTTTGTAATCACATATGTAATTGCATCTGAACTTACACTTGTAAGGTCACTTGGAATTCTACTTGGAATTCCACATGGAATTTTGGATTGGAAACTGTAAGTGTCATTCCAAGTGGAATTACAAATGACCACTAAAGGTACATTTTTTCCTTTTTTAAAATAGTTAAAATTGAAATTTCAAGCGGTTTAATGGCCTTAAATAATGTTATCAACCATATAGTAACACCAAAGCAGAGGGGTTCAAGTCATTTCAAGAAAATTTGAACGAAAAATAAAAAAATCTATTTTTTCGAAATCTTAGAACAAATACTTGAACCCCTCTGATTTGGTGTAACTATATGGATAACACCTAATATGGCCATTATACTGCTTGAAATTTCAATTTTAACTATTTTAAAAAAGGAAAAAATGTATCTTCAGTGGTCATTTGTAATTCCACTTGGAATGACTCTTGGAGTTTCCAATAAAAAATCCCATGTGGAATTCCAAGTGACTTTACAAGTGTAAATACAGATGAAACTACATATGTTATTGCAAAATATCAATCAGTAGGGTAGTTTATGACTCCTTACGAGAAGTTAGCTTCAGAACTTGCAGTGATACCAATCTAATACAGCGCGGAAAATTTAAAATCACTAATGCGGTAAATTTTAATGTTAATAACAAATCGAAAGAAAACTCCTCCACCTGTAAAATTTTTTTTTTTTCGACCATGGTTCTCTCACAGCAATAGTTTGGTAATGGCTCTCTCGCGAGCTTCACTCGCTTGAGGGCTGTGTTAAAAATAAACAAATTCTATCAAGTACCGACAGAAGAATTACCGACCGCATATTTACAATCAAATTTACCGCCTTAATAATTTAGAACTTCCTGCGTTGTCATTTTGGCAGCATTGCGAGTTCTGCAGTAAACTTCTTGTAAGGAGTCGTTAAGTACACATCCACCTAGTACGATTTCAATAATCTGGTGTCCATATTGACTGACATTTTACATGTAACATAATTGTATACAACAAAATTATAAATAAAAATTTATTTTTGAAATATTGACGGAAAATGACCATTAAAATTTAATAGAATAATGCAAGCGCCCTAGGTCATGTGGGGATTGGAGTTTGCATTATTCTATTCATCATAAATTATCAAAGCAAATAATAAGGGCCCCGGGTTGTGTGGGGACTGACGTTATTACTTCATTAATCATAAATAGTCAAAGCAACTAGTAAGCGNTTTGAAATATTGACGGAAAATGACCCACAAACCCTTGCTTTAACTGCAGAAGCCTCCAAGTCTGACAAATTAGTATAATTGTTATAATCCACATAATCTGGCAAGTAAAAAAAACTGTTGAAAGCTTCATAAAACTTTTCATATTTCTTTTTACTGTTTTTGTGAAACGTAAGTAAGTTAATTGCACTCTCTGGGGTCTGTATTCCATACTCATGTAAAATAAGTGTCCATAGAGCAGAGCCAATCTGATTTCCACATTGACCTACTAAAAAATTGTTACAATGTAGATTAATCATTGGGAGTTCTGCCTTTGTGTTAAATACAAAAATTTTAAGACAAAAAATTGTTTTCAGTGACTTATAATATATAGTTGTTTCTAGTGAGTATGTTATGATCAAACACACCCTCATTATTTAACACTGCCAAGAGCAGTTTGCAACAAATTAAAAATATGTTTAATTTTACTTTTAAAAAACTTCAGATCATTAACAATGGTGGTTTTGATTTATTTAATATTTCATTGAAATAATTATCAATAATAATTTAGAAAAAAATGGTACCAGTAAATACCTTGGATCGTTATAAATTGGCTCATTTCTTTGGCAGACCAGACAATACGCAGTTCTCTGTATAAGTACAATTGCTTATGGCTTATGGCTTTTGTATATTTGATTCTGATTCCACTCTGTTTCGGTGCTTTGTTCTCCCTATTCAGTCATGCCCCAGCCATTTGAAAAAGCGCCACTTAAATGAAAAATAACCATAGACATATAAAGAACAGACCGCTTATTCAATTGAAGTGAAGCAGTGAGGCTTGCGTAGCTAAAGAGGGAAGACGAGGGCAGTGGCAGTCCCGGTTTAAAATGACCACTAGACGGCCGTAGCTGAACCATAGAGATATTATAAATAGAGGGGGCAAGCTCAGGGGCTGCCTGTAAGTGAAAGCATACGCTCGACAGAAAGAGAAAAAAAACAAAAGGGTCTACTTTCTCTCTCGCACCTCCTCTCCGATTAGCTGGTAAGACTACGTTCTCTATTCAGAGGACTTAGCAGACAACGCAGCAGCGTGCCTAACCTTTTTACAATCAAACAAAAATAAAATATAATTAATATTTCAGTTGTATTTAAGTTAAAATTAGCTAATGATTAGTTTAAACATAAGCTCATATAACTCAAACTTCCACCTAAGCTATCAATATTAACATAAGCTCATAGGGGGTAAATGATTAAATGTAACCTTTGAACACTACCTTTTAGTGTAAAGTAGGGCTTAGGGGATAAGCTTTTGCTCAGAGTACTAAAGATTCTGAGTTCGAATCTGATTAAAGTTTTTTTTTTTTTTTTTTTTTGATAATTCAGTGACATACTCAATTTATGAGAACACTGTTTTCTTGAAATTTTCATGGGATATTGTTTCAAGTCATTTATTGAAAACTATTTCATCATTTCTTAAAAAGAGTGTAGAGAGTATATATAACAAGGAATTTAAAATTACTTTCTCTTCATTATGTATTATGTACCAGAAGCTTTAAGATCTAATGTATGTGAAAAAAATTAATCGAATACTTATTTATCTATAAATGAAATAAAAAATCCTTTATTGTCTTGCCATGTGCACTGGAAAATGATTGTTTCAAATAAAACGCCAGATCACTGTATGTGATGAATAAAATTATTAATTACAATATTCTATATTTATTAAAGCCGAAGAAGTAGGTTATGCGCATAAATTATTGTAGCAACACACTCTCTGGTGTAGCTTAGTTGGTCGACGAACATAAGTATATTATTTTAGACATTTTTAACACTTGAAAATAAAATTTGTTTTCCGATAATTTTCTGCATTATTTTTGTTAGAAATTTTGTTTTTATTACTTACAATATACCAAATACATAA